AAGTGTGTAGTTAACTTTGATAAAATGACTTTTGGGAACAACAAAGGCCAAATTTCGGTAAGTGTTGCTGCATCTGTTACATCCGCCAAGATGACTGGGATGTCTTACTCCCTCCACTGTTGATGGCCTATAGAACATCAGAGCATGAAGTCACTGGATACACTCTAGCAAAATTGAAGTTTAGTTGGGAACTTCGATTGCCAGTGGACCTAATAACAGAATGCCCACCTTACGAAGAGTTGCCTGAAAATGTGCCAGAGTTCGTGAAAGTGTTATCTGAAAGGATGGATGATATTCATCATCAAGTGCATTCAAACTTAAAAACGTCTGCTGACTCCACCAAGCTATGTTATGATAAGAAATATACTGAAGTCAGCTTTGTACCAAGAGACAACGTGTGGTTGTACAATCCCAGGAAGACCAAAGGGGAAGTCTCCTATGTTGTCTTCTCCATGGGAAGGCCCATATGACATAATGGATTGTCTCTCAGACGAGACTTTCCAAATAAAATGTGGTCGGTGAAGTAAGCCAAAGATGGTACATGCCAACAGGCTTTGGCATTATCATGGTCCAGGACATTTCAGTTGGAACAAAATGAACAATGGAACAAATGATGCTGCTGAAGATGTGTCACCTGAAAAAGCCACTGTTGAAGAAGAAACCCTACCCAGTTAAGAGAGGGAAAACAGTGAAGCTCTTGATGAAGTTACTACCACTGATGTGACTGCTACCAATAATGTGTCTTTTCCTGATGGAGCAAATTAATCCCATGTAATGCAGAAGCCAATGAGATGGAGACCAGTACAAAAGAAGAAACTTCCTGTAAAATTAAGATACTTTGTTGTATTTGAATTTTGTGTTTGTAAATTCTGAACATTTAATTAAGTTATTGTAAATTATTTATTGGTTTCATGCAAGTTGCTATTGTTCATCCCAAACAATAGTAAGGAAGTGGCAGTGTTACGACAGCGGAAGTCACATGACGCTGCTGGCGTGTTTGGCTCTGGTAGCATGCGTGAAGTTTCTTGAATTATCAGGGAAGTCAGAGTTTGTTCGAGTATATAAGCCTAGCAGTGAAATAAAGTGTGTGTTTTGTACTCGTTGAGAACGAAGTTGTCGAGATTGTGAATCGCTGTGATGTATAGTGTATTATAAAAGTTGTTAAGTTTAAAGTGAGGAGAAACGTACTGGATTGTGGAACTACTGTGTACTAAAGTTTGTATGGAGGAAGAATAAATTGGTTTAATCAAGAAAGTACTTGTATCGCTGAAGATCCTCGGTAAGAATTTCTACCGGAAACAAACAAATAAGCAGATATGTAACTAGTATTTTTAATTAACAAAATTCTCATTCACTGCACCTTTGTTTTAACTGCCAGCAACAAATGATAATCTTGATAAAATTTACGCTTATTACTTATATTGTCTCGCTCTTTGTTATTTGATCAATTACTCAATTATTATTATCTCCTATCTCTTCAAGGACTCAAGCGCAGGAATTTTTCCCTGATGTCCCCGGCCTCTCTGTTGGCCTGTTTTAATTGCCAGCTCTTGTAATCAATGGCGCTTGGTACATTTTTAAAATCTCTTTACCATGTGTATAGTTCTGAGAAAATAGTACAACAGTTCACCAATCCCTGTAGATCAAGAATACCATGCATTTAAACAAAATCCTTGATATGAAGAATACTAGCCTACAAATACAAAAACCAGCAAAAAATTACGATATTAGTGAGATATTTATGAAGATCTACAGATACATACTTGTATTGACAACATTGTATAGCAATTAAATTAATACATTATTCATCACAAAATTTGTTATTACTTGTAAATGTGTTAAAAATACATACTGTTTGTGTTTTCGTGCAAAGTACACAATGGGTTATCTGTGTTCTGTACAACACACGGAATATAACTCAAGATTTAACACTGACCCACCGTGAAACTGTAGATAATCAGGGGGAAAAAAGAAAAAACTCGTTTTGATACTTAGTTATGTGTAGTTTACAATCTCTGAGCTGTAGAAAACTGAAACAGTCACTAATGTAGACAGTACATTTGTTCATAATAACTTGACATATACAACTTAGGTGACCTTTTTTTTTAACCAATTGAATTTGTGTTTGCAGATACGAGATACTTGATATTGGAATCAACATCTGGAACTGTTCATATCTTACAGATAAGATGCTATAAAACATGTGTGACTAACTTTTAAAAACTCATAAGCCAGAAAAATAAACTGCAACTGACAAGGAGATAAACCTCAAAAATAGTATTAACCAATGGTATTTTGCCTCTAACTATCTCAGTACTAGTATTAACCAATGGTATTTTGCCTCTAGCTATCTCAGTACAAATATTCAACAGCAGAGTGGTTGATTGGAATTTTCAATCTGACATGTAATAGTTGTATAACCAACTAAAAACAAACAAACATTCAAGGAGCCGCTCTAGCTACTGGAGTTCATGCTGCTCACAAAACAGATTTGCTGCACCTGCTATAAAACATCAAATCTCATGTGACAAATAAAAAGTCAAAATAAATTTTCTTTGAATATTTTTAATTGGATATATATTTTTGCATGGCAGTAAGAAACAGGCAAGTTTCCAATCATGATATCTCACATAGTAACAATGTGGTTCCAACATTCCCCTTGTGTACAGGCTGCTAGAAATGCAATTTAAACTAAACAAGCAATGGACTCAAAATTCTAAAACAGTTATTTCTAATAAATAAAATGACCTTTTGTTATTAAAGCAAATCATTTGAATATAGTTACATTTAGTCTGCTTTACTTGTCATTATTGAGTTTCTTTTCATCAGTAATGTATACATCTTTGTACCTAATAAAATCAATTCATTGTATATTTTTTAAGTTAAATGTAAAAAATCATCATAGGGATATTATTTCTAATTGCAAATGTAGTATTTCCACCACTTTATCTTTTTAATGAGCTTATATTAATAAAATGTGTGTGTATTACTTCATTGGAAGTAACAATTTTTAGCAGTAACATTGTAACAATTGTACAGAGAACACAAAAACAAGTTATTTTACGTTTGCTACTTTTAATCGCAAAACACAATTACATTGAACGTTATTTCTATTATACAAGTACATACTAATTTCCATCTTTCCTAATAACTAGAACTGTGGCAGTACATCATAAAGATAATTACAATGACTGCAGTACAACCTTCATTTAGTTGTACAAACATCACTAATACATGTAATGGTGCTTTCATTAATAAAGTATATCAGGTGTCCACTGAATAGGAGAAACACTGAGCCAACATTGTTTCAATACAATAAAACATTCACATTCCCAACACTTAGTAATAACTAATTTAAAATGACTAGAATATACTTTGACAACAGTACAACAGCTTAACTAAATGCTGAAACCTATGACTAGATAGAAGCGTGAATAGATAAAACTATTCAGCCTTTAAAAAAAAAAAAGCTAATGGTTAAAATATAAATATTTGAGTTTAAAATACACAATTTTTTGTACTGTCCAATTTTGCACTAACTATGCTTACTCATACTGAATGTATATTTTAGTCAACCTTGTAAGTAAAAGAAAAAAAAAAGCCTTCCAAAATTCCATTTGAACAAATGTATTTTTTAAATTGCTAAATACTTCCAAGTCAACCACTGAATGTATGAATATATTTCAGAGTTTAAAAAAAAAGAAACAGAGCATTACTGATGACATAAGAAAAATTACAGCTGCTGAAAGAAAGAGAAAACAAAAAACAAGATTATTTTAGTATAATTATCTTACTGTATATTTTAACAAATACTGAAATACCTTTTCAAAGAAATGTTGAAAGGTAAATCACACCTTCTACAAATTATACCATCATTTAAATTGTCAGCAATAATGATTTAAGATTACAGTTTAAAATGTATATAACGTACCACTTGTTTTACCATTAAAATATACAAAACTCCCATACCTAGGAATTAGTTGTTTCAGGAATTTAAAACTTTTTGGTTAAAAAACATCAAACCATTTTTTTCTCACTTTTAACTCTATTTCTTTACTTTCAAAAACAACTCCATACATTAGACTTCACAAGAAACCAAGTTTTCGAACCAGTTTTAAATCCACTACCAATAAAAGCTGCCGTGGTAAAATTTTAGTTCGTTTTTTTTTTTATGGAAACACAGAATGTTAACGTTTAGTAAAATCTAGAAAATTACTCAGAGAAATTGAAGTAATTCCATCATTAAAATAAAAGTAATTTATAAACACATGTGCATCAATTTCAGAAATAACAATACAAAAATCCTACATTAACATTTTAAACAGAAAATACAACTGGAAGCAACAGAAAAATAACATTTTTTTCCTTCAAAATTTAAAAAATACTTTCCATTCATAGACCTCATTACACTACAACTGGGTGCTTCTATTTTACCTCTAAAGTATTTCTTAAAAGATTTTGATGAATTTAAGTTAATTAATTAAAATACTAAAAGGAATTTTCACTTTTAACGTGGCAAAAAAAAATTCATCTTAACTGTAGGATTGATTACTTTTTGCAATCTGAAAGTTTTCACTTTAGAAAGTACAAATTTCACCTTTCTTTCAAATGGTCAATATCTGTTCATGATTGTAATCAATTACATATTTCTTTAACATCTTCAGTATATTAAGACAAATGGTGTCACCTCACAAATATTCCACAAGATTTTGTGAGAATAGCGATAGAGGAATATCAGTTATATATAAAATAGGTTAAAAAAATAATTTCACAAACTAACCACCATAAAACAGTAAGTTGGTTCCAGTTTAGATGTATAACGTGTATCTTAGTAAAGTTTTGCTAATGGTTGTTTCACAGCATAATGTGAAACTAAATTCATGAGTAAAAAAAACTATCAACAGAAACAAATAAAAAGAAGCAACAGGAATAGACAAGATTTTCTTCAAGGTCATTTAAAGAAACAAAATAACAAAAGTATATAATTTTCAATAATATAAAATACACAGAGATCAGAATACTTAAATAAATTTTAAATTATCCTCACAAGAAAATCAGTAATGTAATATTAAAAAACCAAATTTTCAATAGAGAAAAACTATTAAACACATTACAATTTAAACAAGTTTACTTGTGTAAATACAGATTTTTACCTGATACCTATACTGCAGAGAAATACATTAAAGCAAAAAGTTACAATGAAAAAGTAGGTAATACCCTCACATTTCCTTACACTTGTTAACGATATTAGTAATTGTACAAACTGGAAATACTTCAACTTATGTACACACTGTCAAAATCCTTAGTTTAATCAGGGTTGTTTATTGATCTTACATTCTTCTTACTATCACAAAGCCACTGTACAAACACAGTTTGCCAAACTTCAGAGTAAACTCTTTAAATCTGTCACATGCTGAAGGTGGATGCAGCATAACCCTTTCGATAAACATGGTTTGTTTTCTAACTTAGATGTCTCATCGGATACATACTGACTAGAAATAAAATCTATTAAAACCGTAGCTGGCAATGCTTAGTAAAGCACAAACCTAAAAATTAAAAAGCCTGAACTATTTCATCAAATGTTAATATATTAAAAAAACAAAAATACACACATACACACAGTTAAGTTTATAAAATGGTTCTAATAACAAAAATGCAAACTTACCAAACATAAACATGAATTAAGAGTTCTAATTGGCATTTGTGTTGTTTTTTGATGTTGGAATGTTGAAAATATTTTGTCAAGTACAAACATTTATATCTTCTAAAAATATTCATTTCAAGCAAAAATTTGCCTACAATTCTGTGTATGAAGGTTTTGATTTTACAAAAACTGTAAACCAGGCACAATCTTGATGTGCTGGTAACTGCTACATGTAGGTAAGTCTATCAATACTGATTATATATGGAATGATGTACATTTGATCCAGAAATTGATAACCTACAAACTTATTACTCTGGGATAGTCAATAATATATAAATCTCTCTTACATAACTATGTTGTTGTTTTTACCCATGATAAAAAATAAGCATTCTTTACTCCATATTTACCCTGATTACTGTAGAAAAAGTTTAACCTGAAAAATCTTAAAAAGAAAAAAACTTTTGTAAAATAACTCAGTCACTGAAACTTGGCTTGAGAGCTACACAATATTTTCAAAATGCTTATTAAAGTTAAAATTACTGATTTAAGCATAAAAACTAACCTTACAAAAGATATAATGGTTGCATTAACAATGATACTAACCTCAAAAGGAATTTACTAAAAAAATAAGCTATTAAGGTATACAATAAAACATTTAACAGACTACACAAGTTCACATTCTTACTATTAAGGATTTCACTTGCAAGAGAAATAACTAAAGATAATACATACCCATTTAAGTGTCATTTACGTAGAAAACTACTTAAAGGTAAACATCATACTATGTCAATATGAAGTTGAACATTATTTCAAAGAACAATATAATTCTTTTTACTTATTTTTCAACTTTTATATCCCAATTTTCTATCAGAAACCAGCTCTATTGTAATGGTTTAAAACTTTCCTTGTATTCCAATAAAGCTTATATTAGAGCAAAAATTAACAATACTGAACCTGTTTAAAGCTCTAAATAAGTTAGAGAAATGTCATGTGTAATTAAATCAAAATATATGGTAAAGCAACAAGGTACATGTAAAAAAACTCTTCAATCATTGATAGGGTTCATGATCATAAACGTTTCCCAAAACATTGCCAGTGGGAAATTTGACAAGTGATTTTTTTCATCAGTAAATAATCTTATAACAACTCAAGACCCATTTTTGACATCAACACATTTATAAAATATTAATTAACCAATTCTACTCTCCCAATAAAAATAAAAACAACAACAACCTTTATGTTAATTTTCATTGAAGTATTGAGAATTCTCTTATACTGATTAAGAAACTGATGATGCAGACAAAGCTCCAGAGAATATACGGCAAACAATAGGGTCTAACCAAGACTTAGCACTGGCAGCCACCATTTGCAGGAGTGGGATTTTCTGTCAGCCTAGTGCCTTTGGAAGCACTGACAAGATTTGGGTCAGAGTCCAAACTTTCAGACATCTTCTCACAAATTATGTCTACCAGATGCTCAAATACAACTTTAACATTGATGTTTTCCTTAGCTGAGGTTTCGAAGAACTCAAGACCAAGTTGATCAGCAAGCTGCTTTCCTCGTTCTGTTGAAACTACACGCTCATCTTCCATGTCACATTTATTTCCTACTAGAATCACCTGTGCATTGTCCCAGGAATAGGTCTTAATTTGAGTTACCCTAGAAAGGAGTACATTTCATTTAATCCTAAAAACAATAAGGCCATCACACGCAACAGTTTGTTTTAATCCCCAAAAACAATAAGGCCATCACACGCGACAGTTCATTTAATCCCAAAAACAATAAGGCCATCACACGCGACAGTTCGTTTAATCCTAAAAACAATAAGGCCATCACACGCGACAGTTCATTTAATCCCAAAAACAATAAGGCCATCACACGCGACAGTTCATTTAATCCTAAAAACAATAAGGCCATCACACGTGACAGTTCGTTTAATCCTAAAAGCAATAAGGCCATCACACGTGACAGTTCGTTTAATCCTAAAAACAACAAGGCCATCACACGTGACAGTTCCTTTAATCCTAAAAACAATAAGACCATCATGCGTGACATTAGCAACCTTTACAAAAAGATTCTGTAATAAATATATATTTATTATAATTTCTTTAAATCTCAAAGAATATTTGTATATATGGCAAAGCTACAAACTACTGATCAACAGAATGAAAGGTAACCAATTAGCAGCACCCTACCACCAACCATTCACACTAAGGGATTGACTGTCACACTTATAATTCAATATACACATACATTTTAAATTCACTAAATATAGGTTAGTTCCTCACTTTCATTAAATGAGTTAAGAATACACATTAATTTATTAAGTCAACATTTTAATTATAAAAATGTATTCTGATAATTATTTGTAATTAAACCATATTAATTATAGTATTTTGCACTTGTGTATAAAGTTCAAATCATAAATAATATTCAACGTTAAGCTGGTACCAGTTTAACATTGAATATTATTATGATTTTTAACTTTATACACAAGTGCCAAAATACAATAATTATGCATCTAGAAACGGGACCGACGGCAAGTACCAGTTTAACGTTGAATATTATTTATGATTTTAAACCATATTACTTGGATATGTCTGAACACAAACCTATTTTTGAGTGTAATAATATTGGTTCATCCTAGTTAAATGAATAATCAGGGAGTGAAATGAAAGAAACTAATAACCATACAGCTTAGTAATTACAAACAGTTAAAGGTATTTCTGTTAAAAAGGGGCAGAAAAGGTTATCCTGTAAATTTTGCTTGAAATTATTTCAGCACTCTTGCTATGGGAATCCTTTATTGTGCATGTCATGAAGCTTTTGGTGAGTTACATTCAAAATTAAATTAAACTACTTTTGTTTATGTTATACCAATTAGTATAGCATAACATCATAGCTAATAATCCATATTTTAATAGTATATACAAGTGTTAAGTTCTTAATTCTGTAAGGCAATATTTATAAAAAAATACTGAGTTCCCATAGTGGGAGAAAAGTAAAAAATTTTCTATAAGCATCCCTTCTCTAATTTATTCACCACCCCTCCAATAAGTATGAAATTTAATGTAAATTACTCATAATAATGTTGCCATCCCTGAGACAAAGCATAATTTTCATAACCTTCAACCTCCCTCTTGCCACACCCAACTGTCACGTCGCCTGTTTCAGGATTTGTTAATAATTCTCTCGTGTTTAATACTAAATTATTTATAACCAATAGAAAGCCAAGAAGTTCTCTTTCATTACAAGCTTTATTCCCACAGGAAACATATTGACTAACTTATATGAATTTGTAATGGGTCTGTCATATAGTTAGAAAGCCAAGAAAATTGTGATAGTTATGGAACACTTAAAACTCTTTAGGTTAGGCAAAATAAATAATAATACTAAATAAATTTGTAAAAGGCACACACGTGAGCCACTCGTGGGTTATGTAATTTAGTAGTGCAAAATGAGCTGCACATTCTCCAAGTGAGTTACAACTTATAATGCGAGGAATAGTAGTTAGGCACAGTTAAAAGGGCAATAAAACAATAAAACTTCAGTATTAATAGATGTATACTGTTACAAGTTTAAACCTACTTTGTATAAAACAAATGCAGTTTAATGATACAATTTGGAGTTATTCTAGAATGAAAAAAAATGTAATTTATATTTACTTAAATGTTTTTGTTGTTGGTTATTAGGTCAGTCAAATTAATCAACCTTGTATAGAGTTAAGGTAGAGAAAAAAAGATAAAATATAAAGTTTTACTGAAAAAACATTTGAAATTTATTTAGGAAGTTTTAAAGAGTATGGAAATGAAGTTCAGATTTTTAAGATGAAGAAAAGTACTTTTAAGTCTTAACATCAAAATCACTTTGCACTCAGACTAGTCAAAAAACAAAAAAAGAAAATCGATTATTTTCACAGAGAAATCTTTATTAAAAATACTTCAGTAAAAATAAGATTTTTTTGCATGTAAAAAGACAATATTAACTGAAAGTCTGCCAAATTTTGTGAAGATACACACATACTATATTAAAAGTTAGTAGTATCAAATCTACAAAATACAAAGTGGTTGGTCAATTTGACTGAGCACGAGTAGATAGAGTTAAACAAGCAAAAGTAACCATCTCCAATGACAGGAAAAGTTTAAGTTAATCTAGAAAAAGTACCCATCCCCAATGATGGGAAAAATTTAAATTAATTTATCAATTTAAATTGTTTCATGGAATTTAAAAAGGTTAATTGTATTGTACTCTTGGTTTCACTCAGAGCCAAAGCTCTGAGCTACTTATACCACCCACTGCCAAAAGTAATTGTTGAACATTTTAGTCATGCTAAGAGTGCTCAACAATAACATGTGGCAAATCTATATTTTTATTCTTTAAGTTATGTCACATTTTGAAATGTGAATGATAGTGTGATTGATTCCTAACAATTTAGTGTAGAATATCCTGCTTGCCAAATAAAATTTAGCATCAATGTTATTCATGCCTGTTCTCCCATCATTTCAAAAGTGAATGTTGAGCTTTGCCTGAATGCACAGCTTTTCAAGTGCAGAGCAGGAAGCATCTGCCGTAAGCAAGAAACAGACATACACCATAGTTCACAATATATACAAGATCAATAAAAATAATTTCTACCACACAAACATGTTTAGAAACATAATGTATGAATATAATTTAACAGAAATGTGTTCTCAAAAATCAAATTTCTATATATATTTTCAAAATTTAATTGCACGAGATATGATACAAAACTGATGACTTTGCCCATGTAAGTAGCAGAAACATGGTAACACGTGGTAAACACGGTAGACAAAAGTATAAAACCAACACAATTGGAACAACAAAAAGTGTTTTCAGTGGATCCATGTTTTTAAAAGAAATTATCAAGTACTATATATTAACTGTATTAAAAATATGCAAGTTGAAGAACTGATGATGCTTTAGAAATATGAAACAAGAGGAAATACTCAATAGCTGCATCTATAATTAAATATCAAATCAGTCAAGAGATGGAGCTATGAGCTAAGTTTGTATCTGAAAAAACAACTCAGAGCCATTCAATGAGCCTCTATGCTGCAGTTAAATATTAACAATATGTAATTGTTCAGAATAACCTTACGTGGGCAAAACATAAAAGGTCTTTAAATGAGTTTTTGCCACCTCCACTGACATTTATCTCAAAAACTGTATAGGAGAGATAAAAATATGTTATAACACTGAGTATGAAAATACTAATGATTTGTCAATGTCTTTGGATTTAAAGTTATAATGTTTTTTTCATTAATCATGAACCACGTTAATGGCTCATAATAGGAATCTCAAGGAATTGCACAAAACCCTAATAGTATGTTTGGGCAAAAAGCACCAAAAACAGCTTTACCATTGACTGCTAAGGTCGAACGTACATTAGACTTACAAGATAAAAGAAAAAGTGCTCAAAACAGCCTGTTTATAATTATTATTATTCTATTGCCATCCTACAATAAAAATGGCTTGGTATATTGCACCCAAACCTTTTGTAGAATACTAAATAAGGTACTGCAAAGGCCATAGGGGCATTGAAAAGTTAATTTGTTTATCCTATATTCTAAATAAGCTAAAAAACATCATAATTCTAGTGTAATCAATGTTATTACCCCTTGAAGTTAGCTTTCTTACAAATATCTGGTGTTCATTTAAAAATCTCAAGTATAGGGTGAAACAGGAATTACCAGCCAAAAATAGATGAACATTAGAAGACTAACATGTAAATACTCAATGCTTTGTACACTATATCAATCGGTATCTTTAGGAAGCCAATCCCTATATTACGTATGAAGTGAAGGAGTAAAAAAAAAAAAATCAATACACATAATATTACATTTTATTACAGACATGCATAGAATAATTACTTTAAAAGACAAAGGTTTATTTAAAGCAATGTTTTGGATTTACACATTATATTTGAAATAGCTGCTTTTCTACTTGTGGTTGTGTCTTATTCTAGGCATATATTGTTATGCATTATATATATAGAGAGGGACATCTCAAAATAATGTGCTCAAATAGTCAATAACTACAGTAAATCATCATGAACCATATCAGCTAGCTACTAGCTATGTTTATTATTATAACAATGTATAAAGTTAGCTACTATATCAAGTAATCCTTTGCCCATAGTTGAGCATAGAAAAAGACAGCAAATGAGACAAATAAAAAAATTGGGAAATTTAGAAACCTGCAAATAGGGATTGTAAAAAATAGTAAGGAAACAAGGCTGGAGATACTGTAGACACTATTTACTCAAACTACAAATCTCTATTTTGACTCCACCAAATATAATTCTATGTAACAGCATGGAGCCAAAATAGGGGTTTGCAGTTTGAGTAAATAATGTTTACAGTATCTCCAGCCTTTTTTCTTACTTATTTTTTTATATGATCCTTATTTGCAGGCTTTTTAATTCCCAATTTATTATTTATCTTGTAAACATTTAAATCAACTTTTTCTACAAGATAAATTACAAAATTACATATTCAGCTATATTTACAGTCCAAAGAATACTTTCATGGTTTGTGTGTAATCTAAAGTGGTTTATCTTTCAGAATCTTACTAATTAGTGTCCAAAACTCATCTCCTCTACCTCACTCCATCACAAACTAACATATTTCTATTTATTGTATTTTCAAATGAAATACTAATACAGAAATGCACAAATATATTTACCAATCCTGTACACTGTTATAGGACTCCTCATTGGTGACATCATACATGAGTATAAAGCCCATAGCTCCTCGATAATAAGCTGTTGTTATGGTTCGATAACGTTCTTGCCCTGCTGTGTCCTAGGGAAAATAAAAACTTAGCAGAATCTTTCTTATATATAAAAAAAAAAAAGATTCATGAGCCATCCACAAACATTTACAATTTCCATGTAGATTACAGTATGTTTTGTTACACAGTTTCATGTGGTAGAGTTTTAATAATAAAATAT